ATATAATTAAATCATAATGATTAATGATAAAGATAAATAAGAAATAAAAATGATAAGTAACCATATTATCGAGAGAAAATAGAAAAAATGATAATTTGTNATTTAAAAATTTTAACTGGTTATTTAAAAATTTTGATTTATTCAATGATAAACTTTACGTATATAATAAAGTTTTAAACAAATATATTTAAAAAATGAATATGGTATTTAAATGATTGACAATCGTTTCATATTTTCATGCAGTCTAGATAAAAATAATAATTTATATTATTTCGTATCAAATATCATTTTGTATTTTTAAAGAATTAGTTGCTTTGTTAAACATAAAAACTAAACTAATAAATAAAAATCCAAAANTTTTTATACCAAATTTAATAAAATAGTTAAACAAAATTCGCGCACNGCGCGAGTAATATTCTAGTATAAATAGTGATGATCTTCATAAAGACAATAAATACACAAATTAAAATCATTGCTACTCATTCCTACATATATCACTTCGAAGCTCTAAGAACTCAAATATCACAAGGAATTAAGGAAGAATCAGCCAAGCCAATGCAAACAAATCTACAAGGTAGACATAATCTTCATCACACATTAACGTTGTAAACATTTTTTGCTAAAAAATGTTCTTTAAACTTAATCTTGTCTCTCCTTGTTTGAGTGAACTGAGAACAACTAGTCAATATGGAGCCTGACGCAACCACACTGATCAACCCAACCGAGAAACCTATCAAGAGGCTTACAATCATCTTCTGCATCATTTTCGTTATAACCGGTCAATCGATAGCCAGACTCCTCGAGTCCTTTCACCACTACAACACTCAACCTCTCCTACACGTCATCGGATTCTCTCTCCTTCTACTCCCTTTCTTCCTCCTCTCTTCCAAGTTCAATTCCAAGAAACAAAGACAACTTCACATTACTTCCGATCGATTTTCCCTCGCCGTACTTTACCTTTGTACCGGCGTAATCATGGTGGTTCAAGTAAAACTATACCTCAAAGGTAAGCTCAAGTTACTTTTTACGAAATTCCTTCTCATAGTTGGGACACAACTCTACTTCACATTGATCTTCTCAAGATTTATCTCTCATACAACAAGACGAAACTCAGCTTCGCATACGTTCTTGAATCACTGATCTTCTCGTCTCTCTTCGCCACTGTCACGGCGGTTTTCATCTCCGGCGAGAATCGCGATCTGAAGAGAGAGATGGATGCTTTCTTGAAGGGCAAGATTGTGTACGTTATGAGTATGGTTGGTGAAGCCGTCTTGTGGCAGGTTTATTGGATTGGAATTATGGGGCTTGTTTTGTTCACTGATTCCATAGCGATCTCGAACTTTATCAGCGTCTGTGCGTGGTCGATCACGGCGGTTCTGAAAATATTGTTCTGCAATTACGAAAAAGATGAGTTTGATGGTTCCTTAGGAGCCGCTTTAGCCCTTTCCGCCATTGTCGTCACTTCTTGTTATTACAAGAGTATACGAGGTTTTGGAAACTATAAGACACCTAGG